GAAAATTTTGGATCTTTTTGGAACAATGCTTGATTAAAGTAAAGAATTGCTGTACAGGTTCTTAAGATTTTAAAATGTCATTATTATTTTCATCATTATAATTCTCCTTCAGTGCTCTGTTTTAAACATCAGTTTATTTTAAATCATACAGAATTTGTATCAGAGTTGTTGAAACCACAAGCTGCTCCAAAACTTAAGGTGTAAGAATAAAGGCTTTTCTGGTTAACAGTCTCATCTGTTTTATTATAAAATACCAAGTATTTTGTATTTTATGCTAGTAATTATCATGCAAAGAAATCTTTTAGGTTTTCTACAATAATTGTGGTATCATTTTTCTCTCCTAGGAGGAAAGTATTAAAAAACAGCTTGAAGAGCTTGAAATTAAGTTTGAGTGTGTAACAAAAGAAAATGCAGAACTCTTGAAACTAAATTCAAGTATTGTTGGTGAAAACCATGATTTGAAAGAAGAAAAGGAAAGAGACAAGTCTCATCTATCAAGTGTTACCCAAGAACAAGAGTTAATGAAGTGTAAGATGGCAACATTAGAAAACAGTATTTCTACTTTGATCAGTGAGAAGGAAACATTGTATGAAAATTATTCAAAGCTAAAAGAAGATTATGAAAAAATAGATTTAGTTGCTTTAGAATATAAAATAGAAGAACTTTCTGCAGAACTTAAAACTGCTTTAAATGAAAAGGAAACGTGGAAATGTAAATTTCAGGAAACTGAGCAACAATTGGATGAAGTGTTGAAAGAAAAAAATCTTAAGTCACTAGGAAGTATGAACAATGAAATGAAAAATGAAACAAGATCATTATTAAAGGAAGAAATATCAGATCTTGAAAATCAAAAACAAATTATTTCTAATGAAAAATGTAAACTTGAAATTGAACTAAAAGATTTGCAAAGAAAAAATGAAGAAATAACTAAACAAAATAATAGTCTTCAAGAAGTTCTAGAGAACTTTAAGAAGGATAAAAGTAAACTATTAGCTGAAAGAGATGCACAGTTTTTTGAAGAAAATAGTAAAGATTTGTCAGTAAAAGAAGAAAAGGGGGATGTATTAAGTGACCAAATTAGTTATATGGAGAATCAAAAAGAATATCTTACAAATGGTAAATTTGAAATTAAAATTGCAACCTTGCAGAGAGAAAATGAAGATCTTGTAAAAAAATATAATGCCCTCCAGGAAATTGTAGAAAACCTAAAAAAAGATATAATTCTGCTTTCAGATGAAAAGAAAGAATTACAAGTAGAGCTCTTTGAAGAAAATAATAAAATTTCATTTACACAAAAAGAAAATGAAACGTTACGGTCCAGTGTGAAAGAAATGCAGACAACCCAAGATAAATTAATCTCTGAAAAACAAACATTACTTTCTCAGATCACTCATCTTGAAAAGGAAGTTCCAAGATTAAATGAAGAAAATGACACTGTTAATTACAAGTTAATTGAAGAAGTTAAAAATAAAGGTTGTCTGATCAAAGAAAAAGACAAACTGAAAGCTAAATTATTTGATTTAGAAAACGAATATGAAATTCTCTGCAAAGAGAATAGAAAAGTTCATTTGGAAATGGAAAAATGCAGCATAGAACTTCAGAATAAGTCTGCTGATGTTGAAAGTCTTTCTTCTCAGATGAAAAATTATCAGTTAGAAAAAAAGCAGCTCCAAGAAGAAAAAGAAAGCGTTCACACAGAAATGATAGAATTAAAAAAATGGATTGATCCGATTAAGGAAGAAAGAAGCTGCTTAACTAAACAAGTTGAGGAGCTATCAAGTGAGAAAGTACACTTTATGGATAAGATTACTACATTACAATCAGATATAACCAGTTTGAAAGAAAAGATTGAAATGATTAACAATGAAAATAACATATTGATTTCTGAGAAAGAGGGTCTTAAAATTGAGAAGATGAAAAATAATGAATTTGTCTCACAGTTGACCAAAAATCAAGAAGATATTGAGGTCCAATTGAAAGTAGCAAAACAGCATCTTCAAAATGTCATCTCCCAAGTGGAAGATTTTAAAAGTGAAAATAAGAATCTAAGATGCCAGCTGGATAACATTAGGATAGTTTATGAAGGATTAGCAGTTGAAATAGGCTTAGAGGATGACCCACAAAAAACTATTGCAGAAAAATCTCAGGATTTAAAATCAAACATTCAGTTTATTGTGAAGAACAAGAACAAACTAGAAACAAGTTTAAAAGGTGTTGAGAAGATACTGGAAGAGAAAACGGTTTTGTGTGAACGCCTGTCAGAAAGAATTCAAGAATTTGAGATGACTCAAGAGCAACAGGAGGTAAGTAATTATAGGTTTCTACTGGAACAATAAAGTGGAATAATATAGTACTAAATGATGTGTTATATGTTTTAATTTCATGTCAAACCTTGAAAATGGTCGGTCAAGTAATTTTTAATGGTATTTTAATGCAATATGTATTATAATCATATTATTTTCTTAATTAATTGAAACTTCCCATGAAGCGTTAGACAGCAGCTGTAATGCTGCTAAAACTTTTCTTCTTATATTACATTTCATTGATCATAAATTTGAATCATACATCATACCCATGCAGCCAGTATACCTACTGCACTTGATTATGTTGATAATTTATGACACACCCCACTAATACTAAAGTTATATCCTTTACTATTAGCCTGAAATGAATGGTTTTGGAACCAAATGTCAATCAGTTGAAGTGCAGCGGGTGAATTATATGATCTTATAGTGATCATTCATGTAATTGACTATTTATTAATTATATTTTATTTTGAAACAAGAATATTTATTTATTGTTGAACCATTAGATATAAAATGAGCCAATTCTTAACTTGAACTATGTTCAAGCAGCATATTAATATGTTGTCATAAGTTTAGAAAACTTGTGAATTAAGTTAATACTTAAAACTGGTAGAAGCAAGTCTATTGTTTATTTTATAATCTTGGAACAGTGTACTTACAATCAGGTTATGAAGATTTGTAGCAATTTTTGTCATGTTTAGTAACCTGTATAATCACCTACATCTAATTGTTAGTTAGTTCATTTTTTAACTACTAGACAGTAATTACTATGTTATTCATATCCTACATTTTGGCTGTTATCTGATGCTACTTCTGGGGAAGTTCTAAGAAGGATTATATGTAGTGGCACAATCGAGGATTCAAGGATGATTTGATATCTATCCAGGGGGACATAAGTTTAATCTCACTAGTTTTCAAACTGTTAAAGGAATTCATTAACTAAAATGTTTCATTTATTTCCTTTGTCTTGTGTTTATTCTAGGGTTTATTTGATATTTTAAGTTTTGGGTTGCAAATCTGCTTTTTTTTATTTTAATCTTAAATAAAGTATAATCTTAAACTATTATTTTTTCTTTACTGATTATTTATTTACTTATTTTTTGTAGGATGATACACAATTATTGTTTACAGGATATTTGTGTTTTGTGTCATTTAACTTATATTCATGTCCTATCACTTAGTTTATTTTATTGTCAGTCAGCATATTATTGTTTTCTTTCTATTTAGCTTTCTTCTTATCACTCAGCTTATCTTTGCATTTTATTGTCATTCAGTTTATTCATGTCTTATTGTCATTTAGCTTATCTATGTATTGTTGTCATTCAGTCTGTCTTTTTTGTTACTAGATGTGTTATTATTCAATTGATCTTCTTGTTTTCTTGTCACACTCATCTTTCTGAGTGTTTTGTTCTTATTTAGCTGCATTTAAACTACATAACAGACCTAGAAGAGAGACTAGAAAAGAAGGATGAACGTATCTCAAAATTGGAGGCCAAACTGGCTTCTATTTCCACAGAAGATGCTTACGAATCAGCTTCTACCACGTCTTCTAGAAGAAAAAAGAAAATTGATTTTATCTCTGACGATACAGAAAAATGGAAGGGACAAGTAGCAAAACTTGAAGTACAGGTAGAATATACTTAGTATTTTAATAAGATTCTGAAATCATGGAATCAAACATATGTTAACTTTTTGTTACCTAATACAGGAGGAGTTTTAATTAGTGCTGCACTGTGCTTATTGAAACCCCTAATGAGATGCAGCACTAAAGGAATAGAATATATTTACTGGAAGTTTAACCTAAACATTTATATTCATTATTGTTATGTTCCCGGAGGTTGTATTCCAGCTAAATATGACTATAATAGAGGCATAAGCAACAGTTGCCACAGAAAATATTAATAAAATTAGAGGTCTGTTAGATAGCTTTGTGAAGCCCAGAATTAAAAAGTCTTATCTATGTATTTGAAATTGAGGGGGGAAATGTAAGGGTGTAGTAATTTAAGACATTGACCTCTTAGGCAATAAGTAAAACACATGTGGGACAATAAAATTTGAATTGTGTTTTTTCCATCAAATGTCAGGATATCTAGTCAAAAATAAGTTTCGGTTAAGTTAATTGAGTTTCATAAAAATGGTATTTAATTGTCTACCAATGTTACAATATTCAATCAATGTTTTTAGTGTATCTGGCTAGAAAAAATAATAAAACTTTCAATCGTTATTAAAAGCTGGAAATATTGTTTCCAATACATCTTACCTCCTTTCACAGAATAGCTTTTCCTGACTCATACTGCTCTCTTTATGTGCAAATGTTTGCTTGCCAATAGTCTTGATACTCTCACCTACCCTCATGTGTTTTCACTTGAGGCAGCTGTGTGATAGCATGCAACAACCTTCCACCAATAGGAGCACAACACAACCCCTAGGACAGCTGAATATCCCTCTGTGCAGTTTAGCCCAGATTCACTTCTCGATGGGCACTCGTGGTGTTAAAATGTGTTTTAGTTCGTGCTTTACTTTACAGATTTTCAATCAGTTCCTTTTCGTTGGTTTTTATGGGAACTTAGTTTTACTTGATATTTGCTACACTTGTGTTCTGAAATTTGTGTTAGTACACATTAGTATTACATGTCTTTTATTGTAATAAATAAATCTTTGGAGCTCCATGTTTGGACTTTTCTACTACCACTGCTGTTCCTACTACAATTAACCTTACTTCAGGTCCACAATTGTTGGTGAAAGGTATTACAGCTTTAATTTGCCAGGATTTGACCACCTTCATGCAGGCTCCTGATTATCCTCTCATACCTGAACAAGAGGACAAAGATTTTGACAGTCCATTTCCTCCCCATCCTATGCCACACAGTCATGTTTAGCTCTCGTGGAAGTGCCCAGGCTACCTCCTCTTATGTTTTGTCTTTGTCACCATTTCCTTTAACTCCCCTCCTTCCCTTTTAAGTGAAACATCTTTGGGCCAATCTCTTGTTCTCTCTCTTCCCTTGCTGGTTATTGGGGTTAGTGGCTGTAGGTTTGTGGGCACATTATATTTAGGGGTCAGTATGCCTTAATCCTAGAAAAAGAAGTGGAGCCTCAGCTATCTGGTTGGGTCCTGGCCAATAGTGATGATAAATCATATAAAATTCCTTCAGTACATGAATTAAGTTCCATGTGAAGAGCATACTTGTTCTTGATGTAGTGCATTTCCCCCACTAGGGTGCCAATCTTCTATTGACACACCCATGATCTATGCAGATGCATTCTGTATGAATACTGCCATCACCAGCCCCTCCACTTTTTCAATGTGGGATTTTAGCTGTAGTGTGAGAGTAGGTAAGTATGTTTAGGAAAGTTAACATTTTCTTAAATTTTCAATAATACTTGCCTCTTTTCACACTATCCTGCTCTTCCTCCCCACTAAGAGCCGGTGTTAGAGACTGCAGATTGAGTCAGTCTCAAAAAAGTGATAACATTATCTGAATGAAGTGTTTATATACAGTACCAGGATAGAGGGCACATTGACGTAGGTGGAGAGTGTCACAAGACAAATATCGCCAAGGGCAATTAAGTGGGGTATAAAAGACTGAAGCAAGCGAGAAAAATCAGACCAATGCTTAGATGGGCAACAGAAGAAACTCTGGCAGTCAAGGAATAGCTGTAGTGTAATAGGGGGGTAAGCATTATTGGAAATACATTTCCAATTTAAGAAAATGTTAACTTTCATCCTTTGAGGGGGGGGGGGTAATTTTTAAGCTCACTTTTTTAACAAGCAAAAACGAGATTACTAATATGATGAAATGTGGGTACTCGCAAGTAGTGAAGGGTATACAAACAAGCTGGTAATTTGAAAATTAAGAATTTTAGATTTGTTCACTTATTTAGTGCATTGTACGTAGCATATGTATAATTACCATGATGACATGAAGTTATAGACAATGAGCATATAAAGTATTTTATGAGGATGATCCCACAAGCTTGCATATATTACTTGATTTATTATTATAAAACTCCTAATCTAACTTAGACATTCATATATTTATATATATAATGAATTGTGTTTTGGGAGAGAAAAATATATGCGGTTTAAAAATGATTTAATTTGCAAGAAAGTAATTATTGTGTACTGTGAACTTTATAGCATCAATACTCATAATGTTTGTGAATACCCTAAAGTTGATAAACTTTATATGTTTAGGTATTTAAAAAAGGAAATTGAGTACCCAATTGAAATCATATAGCAATATTCTGTATTTCTTTGGTGTAGTTGGTAATAATGTGTTTATTTTAATGGAAGGTTTTGTTGATCTAATGGTACTTTTATAGAATTAAAATAAATAATTTAAATATTAAATACACATGCTTGTGCAGTTATCAGAAGAGAGAGATCAACATCAAGTTGAGCTGCAACAACTGTTGGAATTGAAGAAACAGGTTGAGGAAGAACTGCGTGAAAATCAAGCTAATGTTCAGAAATTACCAAAGCCAAGAAATAATGTTAAAGATACCAAAACTGTAAGTATGCTGTGAACTTTTAACTCTCTTAAAACAGACTTGATCAATTTGACCAACTAAGTGACCTTTTTTGTACTCGTATAAAGTCTTTATAGATTTGATACTACTAACTTTTAATATAGTATGTATATCTTCACAAAATTTGGCAGTCTTTCAGTCAACAATATGTCTTTCACATACAAAAACATTTTTTGTAAAGTATTTTATGTAAACTAAAAAGATTTGTCCCTGAATATATTGAGTGTTTGTTTTGAATAATCCATGTACAAACAAAGTGATTTTTATGTTAAGATTGAAAATACTTTTCGTCATCTCAAAAATCACAAATTTCATTTGTGTAATCTCTAAAACCTCCTAAGTACATTTCAGATGTTTTTTTTCTGTAAAACTTTATATTTTACGTTATTTTCTCTTCCCTAACTCTATACAAGGTTGGTCAATTTGACCGACCTTGTAACCACAAAATAAATCTAAATTACCCGCTTTTTCTTTCTAGAATGACTTAAAATTGTAACATGAAACTACATTCATTTATCCTAAGTAACTTTAAGCTTGTAACAATATACATCTATTTATAATATAATTATATTGTTTTATTGCTCTTTCAATTGTGTCTAACTACTATTCTCACAAATATAAGGTGTAAATCACTTGGGTTACATGGAGCTCTCATTACATTATCGAATTAACTTACACACGAGATGCTCTCATACATGCCTCTTGAAATATTTTCATTATATTATTATTATTTATTTTACCTAATCTAACTAAACTAAAGAAATCCCTATTTTTACATTTTAGTTACTTTTATATTCATAAAACAAGAAATAAATACTTACCCGAGTATTCTTTTTTGTTGTTGTTTTTTGCTGTCAACTGTTGGTGACACTTAACTCTACTTTTTTATACTAATGGTAGTAGTGCATTAAATAATGCACCAAAGAAAATAGAAAATAACATGCAAAAAGTAGACAATTTCCCCCAAGTATTCTCTGTTCAAAAAACGTTACATAATATATCATTTGATAGATGAAAACCTTGGCTTTCTATTGGTTATAGATAGCATAGAATTAAATGTAGAGAGAACTATTAAAAAATCCTGAAAGACAAGGTGTGGCATAAGGGGTCTGATTTTCTCTTTGATAGCTGTGCAACCAAATAATGTTGAAGGCATTAAAAATTATGGTTTATCTGAGCAATGAAGAATTTATAGGGGAAATTTGGGATATTTTTAAATATTACCTTATAGAATTAAGAACTTAACTTATATAGTATTAAAGTATGGATTATTAGCTAATATTT